CCCCAAAACCCCAAAACCCCAAAACCCCAATACTCCAAAATAAAGCAGAAATATAATATAAATATGAAACTAAAGGTTGATCTGAGTCAATATGTCAAAGAGAACAAGAATATATCAAGATTCACCAATCACTCACGTGCTTTCTCATTAGACTCAAGGTAAATCTGGCCTTTTTGTTGCAATCCTATCTATATCGTGAATCCCTAATAACATCTTGTGAATGTTATATTTTGGCTATTGATGCCCGATAGCATCATTATAGGAGCAAGAACTCGGCTACAAAGATGAACCAGAGGTATCAAAATGTAAGTGATAAACTCAGACATAGCGTTCGAATGATAAAAGCAAAACTAGCTCCCTTAACAGAGATTTGGAAGGGTTTGAAAGGAAAGACGCAAGCAATTCTCCCTTCAACAATCAATATGATGGTGTTAAAGTAGAGGCTAGGAAGAACAATTCAGATCTTAAGCGGAAATCAAGAAGAACTAGAGAGCTCAAGGAAGAGCCTGAAGTTGGAATCAACTCTATCGGCTTGAACGGAAGTACTTCCAAAGGTAATCCTACAGCATATTAATGCGTAGATGTAAAGAATAAGTTACTCAAGCCAGCCAAGATTCAGGTGAAAGACCTGATTTCAAACCTCAACAGCATCCAGGTATATTTCTAATTCAAAAGTATAGGGTATGTTCTCGAAGAAGTAAGTCTAAACGGCTAAATTCAGGTTCAAAAAGAGCAAAGTTTTCAAAGACAACAAGAATCCTATCAAATACCAATACTTTGGTAAAAATATGGGAGATCTACCAGAGAGCAGAGAGGAGTGTTTGGCTCGAAGTCTTATAGCAAGGCAGGAGAACTTGCTTCCTAAGATACAGGCTGAAAAACCAGAATTAAGTAAGTCATCTCTTTACACATTTAGACTCAAACAACTGAATGGCATCTGGGTTTCTCACTAAGTTTAAAAGGAGTGAGAAGTTGACAGAATCGATTTTTGGAGATAAGGTTAATCTTATTCAGACCCAAAAACTTCAAGAAAGCAAGCGATTAGCAAGGTGCGTGTAGGGGATGATTCTTAGAAACCCATACAGTTTTTATAAGAAGAAGGAAAAGGATGTAATTGTTCTCCCTCAGGTAAGCAGCATCTCTTGAATGTCTCCTATTAATACAAGGTCTCTAAATTGACATTTATATCTAGTCTTCAAGTTTGGAGTACAAGACTCCTATTAATTTGAAAAATTCAAAAAGTAACACCAAGAGGATACGCAAATATTTGAGAGAAGATCACCCTGCTATAAGTTTGGATGGTAATTTTAGTATTTCCTAATCTCTAGGCCAAAATATGAACCAAAGGCAAAAAAGCAGTATAGGTTTCGTTGCAAATTTAGAGCTGGTGATCAACGACAATAATGAGCTTGTTATTCAACAAGTAGACCATAGTTTAGACAAATTTGTTAATAAATCTATTCAGGGATTATCGAATAAATTCCCTTGTACTTTTTCACAAAACCAGAGCTCTACCGATCTAAATCCTCACAAGGGCATTGAGAAAGGGTTCAAGCCAAAAGAAATAGAAGATCAAATGTAATGTTACTTGTGAGAAGGTCTAATTTGTTTAGGAATAAGTCTGAAATAGCTCATAACTCTGCTCTCTTCTTGTCAAAATACTTGAAATCTATCCACAATAATCCTGTAATGCAAAAGACTGAGCATATAGATCAAAAAGAGAAACAACGATGCTCTAAATAAGTCTTGAACCAACAGTAAGGATAAGGGATGCTTACTAAATAGATCCAGATTCCTCTTACTCAATGTTGAACAGATCTGTACCTATGAAAGAGAGATATTTAGTAAATATGAACAGGGGAGAATATTCTTCACCTATAATGCTCGAGAATCAGCAATTCAATCATAAGGCTCGTAAAAGCAGCGGATATTCCAATGTCTCAGGGATCACAGGAGCTGTGCATCCTCTCAAACCTAGTTACGATTGGATAAAAGATAAGTACAAGTAATGAATATTACAAAAGAAGGATCTTTGATAAAGACTTGCTGCAGGACTCTATCCAAGTCCTCAAGGATCAGAAAAACGATATGAAGTACTTCAGAAATAAGGTAGAGCCAACCTTACCTTTTAGTTGGAGATTCAGCATTACTTTCAGACAGTAAAAGATCTCAATAAACGAAGGAAGAAGTACAATGAGCTGTTGTTGGTATTCCATCCAGACAAGAGACAAAAAGATTGTGACCAAGAACTTTACAATAAGATGTTCCTCTTTCTACAGAGAGGAAAGAAGCAGTTTCTTAAGGAATATGTAAGCAAAGAGGAACAAGAAGTAAGCACGATTTTAGTGTAAAAGTTAGATTTAGTGGTTTCTTTAAGAGTTAAAAATAATTTTCGATTCCACTAGAAATAAAATAGGCTTATCTTACATCACTATAATAATGTCCTTATAAACTTCCCAATTTTTGTTTTGTATCAAAGTCTTATCAAATTACCAGAGTAAAAACAAAAATAAGCACAAAAAATGAGTTTCAGGGACAACTCAAATCTCTTCTTCAAACCCAGGATCCTCAAATCTCACGTCTATTGGACAGGTATGTGCCTCTAAGCTTCCTATAACCTTGCTAGAAAAATCAGACTAATCCAGATTCTCTGATTGATGACGGTAAGTTTCGGATTAATGTCCAGAATATCTCCACAAAGTCGAGGAAAGGTTACACGAGCGTAGGGGAGTTATCAACAAGATCGAGTAGCTCCAGCCAAGACATTCTGGCCTGAAGGTACTTCTTAGCTCTACTTCTCTAGATTTAAGGTACAAGTGTGAATATTTTATAATGCAAAAGGCTCCAGGATGCCTACTAATTGAGTTTACAGATGATTAATAATACTAAAAATATAGAACACTCAAAATCTAAGAGGATTCAATCAAGAAGGATGCTATAGATTGTATTGCATGCAAAATTAGTCGCCATTCTAGATCATATCCATCATATTTAGAGCTTATTTGATGTCCTTCAAGGTTCAGGATATCAGCCATCTGATGTGCTGATAGATAATATTTTGATCATATTGTTCAATCATATTTTTAAAACTTGGGGTTTTGGGGTTTTGGGGTTTTGGGGTTTTGGGG